CGCTGGGTGTGGACACCTTCTGCTTCTTCATCTGCACTTGTGACTGCGCCGTGAGTTGCAGCTTGATGGCACTTGAGTTGATCTTGGTGGCCACCAGCAGCTCCTTCATACCCTTCATCTTCTCGCTCTGGAAAGTGAGCACCGGACCTTCTGGAGGTGGTGATGCTGCAGGAGCTGGCACCTGAGCCATGCTGCCACCTTCAGGGCCTCGTACTGTGCCTGGGACCGTCCCTGGGGGCTTCCGTGGGGGTCCTGATATCGCACCCTGGCCTGTACCCGGGCCCTTCTCCAGCGCAAGCTTCTTGGGGGGTGGGGGCTCCTCGGGTTTGGACTCCCGCCGGGGGCCCCGCCGCCGGCCTTCTCGGGCTTCTTCGCCCCACGGCTCCTCAGCCTCAGCTGCCTCAGCCTCCCGGCTCACTATGCGCACTTTCTGCCGCACCTGGGCCAGGGGAGAGCAAGCTGAAGGAAAGACTGTGGACCAGAGACAGGATCCAAGACACAACCATAGCCATCCCGTACAGGGGGTCTCAGGCTCAACTGTATCCCAGAGACACGAGCAAATGCTGCCTCTGGGCCGCAAAGGTCTACCTCCCCTGTGGCTGTAGTCACCACCTGTAGTGCCCACTCCCTCCGATCTCCATCAGCTGCCCTCACCTGTCCCTCAAAGCGGCCTAGGGACTGAACGAGGAAAGTGGCCCAGCCCACATGCAGCACTGGTGTGGGGCTGCCCTCTTCCCACTTGCAGATGCCATCATAGAACCGCAGCAGGTGGGCAAAGCACTCAGGATCCTGGAGGGCAGAACCCTGGCTCTGGGTGCCCTGGGAAAAAGAGAAGGGAGAACACAAGTCAGACTCTAACTTGCCCTTAGCACAGGGCACAGGCCAGACCCCTGACATAGGCAGAGAGCCTGGCTTCAGAAGAAGGGCATAGGTCCAGAGCATCCTCAGAACCTCTTTCCTCTTATAAAGTCAGTCCTTAACCAGGACTGAAAGAAGGACCATCACTTCCTCCACCCCACCCCTAACCTGAGTGAGGAACCCTGGCCATTACTGAAGCCACAGGGTAGAAGCTCCCAAACTCAGGCCCAGGACCTCAACTACAGCAAGAGAATGTAGCTCTCCACTCTGGGTCACTTTCCTGTGCAGACCCTAGTCCTGTACATGCAGCCCCTATGTTCAGTGGCTGGGGACTCCTGCCAGGTAGAAGGGTGGACATGGGCTGGAGCTCCAGCCCTTCACCTGGGTCTGCTCCCCTGGCCGCTCCTCGCCTGCCTCCAGCAAACTGGCCGCCTCCTTCAGCAGGTTGGGGATGACATCATTGGCCACTTCAAAGAACTCCTTGTAGATCTCCTCATCTTCTCGGCAGTAGTTGTAGCTGTGAGGGCAGTGGAGCACTGTGGGGTCTTCAGCATGGTGGGCACCCCCAAGGACCCCGGGGGATAGAGCCCAGGTGAGTGGTTGAGGTCCTTACTCCAAGATAGAATCTGTCTCAGCCCAGAACAAGAGTGAGGAGGGGGCATGGGTCTAAGGATGGAGATCCCATGGCTGGATGATGGCAGTAAGAAACTGCGAGAGGAGAGGGAGGGGAAGATGTGAGCCCCTAATCAGGGGCCCCACCTCCTGGGTGATGGTGGCCTTAGCTGCCTAGGGACTGGATGGAGAGAGGTTGGGGCTTAGGACCAGGCTTTACTCCTGAGCGAGGGTGGTTGGAAAGTGGGTGTAAAGGATAGAAAGTATGGACCGGAGACCCTAGTAGGGGGAATCCTCACTCCTGGATGACAGTGGCTGTGTCGGCCCAGGCCTGCAGGGCTTCACGCACATTGCGATTGCGACAGTGGTAGCCGGCCAAATACATGTAGGGGTAGATGTGCTCATCCTGGTAGTAGGTCTTGGCTGAGGCAATGCCCTGGGGGATAGGACAGAGAAGCCTCAGGGAGACAGCTCCCAGCTGCCCAGGCTGGCACAAATGCCCCATTAGGTCCGACTCAGAAGAGGCAATAAGATTCCCCAAAAGTCCTCCTCCACTTCCAATTCCACCTCCACTCTGCAGCCCCTCTACACAGTGCTCTCCAGGTCTTCAAGACTGCTTGCTGAGGCCTGAGGCAGACTCCAGGGGTGGGGACTCCCATAGAAGAGGGGAAAAGAGGAGTCCACCCTCTGAGCTCAGGGCACATCTGCTTCCCAAACACTCTTCTACACGAACAGAAAAAACTCCCCAGCTCAGCCAATGCCCTACCTATCCCCAACCCCAAGTTAATACCATTTCCTCAGTGCTCCCACATTTGATGCCTGTCATACTCCAGGAAGGACAGAAAATGCAGCGAGTTCTTAGAGGGAGATAAGTCTGGATGTTTCATGATGGCCTACCCTGTGCCATCTGCAGGGAGTAAGGGTTAAGGGGGCAAATCCAGGTCCTGCCTGGAAAGCCAGGGACAGCTCTGGGATAGCCCTGATGGCACTGATGATGTACACGGTTGACACACAGTGGGAACTGAATGGGCAATACCCCAACACACACAGTTTTTCTCCCCTCACCTGCCGCTTCTCCATCCCCAGAAAAAAGGAAACCTCAGCTACTGTAGGAACCTCCTTTCCGAACCCTCCTAAAGTGCCCTCACCTTGTGGTAGAGGGTGAGTGGGTCTGGCCGGCCAGGGGTGGGCTCCAGTTCCTCCAGATCTGCCAGGTTCCCTAGTGCCATGGGATACCTGAGAAAGGACAGGTGCAGGTTGCCACCCAGCCCTTTAGGTCCAGAAGCCCAGCCTAGCCACTACCTCCTACTGACCTTTCCAGATGTCCCAGGTCATATAGCAGCCAGAGCAGCTTCTAGGGGCCAAAGGAGAGAGTTATGAGCTGGGGAGAGGGGAGGAGGAGGAGTCCTCAGCCTAGCAGGCAGAGGTAAGGTTCAGAACCAAAAGGGACCCCTTCCCACACAAGAATTCAGAAACGAGAATTCAGAAAGCAACGCTTTAAAGAAAACAAACTTTTCACATCTCAATTCCACCTTCCCAAGAGCCCTGGGAAAGGCCAGACCAGAATTATTAACCCATTTTACAGAAGGGGAAGTAAAGGCCCAGGAAGGAATGTAACTCTGCCCGGGGTCCCACAGCAAGTCAAGCCAGCAGCCTGGCTTAGCCCACTTCTGCCCTTTGGCATAGCCCTCACCTGCTGCAGCTGCAGCAGCTCCAGAGAGTCAGTGTGCAGGTCAATGGAAGGGTTGATGGCACACACCATAAATGCTACCTCCATCTTGCGGTCACAGCGCATGTAGGATCCTTTCAGGTACAGCCAGCTCTTGGGAGGGGACAAGACCAGATGTCTTATGATGGTCCACCCTCTATCTGCTGCAGGGAATAACAGCCAGGAAAGGAGCTTCTATTCCTAACACATGTAGGTGGTGATAGGGAGTGTGGCCCATGAAAGCAGAACCCCTTGGGTGACAGGCTAGCAGAATATGAAGGGGACAGGGTGGGGATGGGGACACAATACCCTCTCAGCCACACCCGCGTTGACAGTCTGGCCCCTGCGGTCCTCGTTGCCCTTGCCATGCCAGGTGACTTCTGCTGTCTGCTCCCCATTGGGCCCAAACACTACCCAGGCGTGATCCTCAGACAGTGCCAGGTGGACATCCCGAAGACCCAGGGCCTGGCAGGCCCCCACCACAGCAAAAGCCACACCAGAGCTGTCCAGTTTGGTGCCTGCAGAAGGGGGAGGTAATGAAAGAGAGTCCTCTGGGCTTTGGTCCGAGGGAAGGGTGCCAGGCAGTAATGGCCATGCTCCTTCCCACTCACCCCACACCTCAGGAACTCCTGCCCATCATCTCTCCCATGTACACCCATGCTCCCCAACGAGAGACCTTCTAGGATCTCCCATAGCTTGACTCAGTCTTTGGTCCTGTCCCCTCTCTTTCTCTGCTACTATATTATATATTTTTGTTCATTTAAGGATTTCCCCATTTTAATGCACCTATTATGACAGGGGCAGCAAAAACAGGACACTCTGGCCAATACTCTTTCTTCCCACACACCCACCAAAAGGCACTCCTGACTAGTCTTCTTGCTCAAAAGCAGCCTCAGGTTTCTTCTCAATGTGGCACACCAGGGAATGACTGCCAGTCCCCTGAGCTTGGCACAAAGATCTTTGTAAGCCCTGACCCTTACGCTTGTTTAGGTCAAGCCCCTGGGCCGTTCACTTTCATAACATTTTAATTTTGTTTAAATACACCCCAATTTTGTCTCCTCAGCCCCCCCCCCAATCTGCTGCCAACCTCTGCCTCATGCTGGGCTGCAGGATTCCTGTAACTGTCAGTGACACAGGTGGGAATGCAGAAGGAGAAGAGGGTAGGTTAATGGATTTGGAACCTAGTGATCAAGTTCCAGTCCCAGCCCTGCCACTTTGTGTGACTCTGGCACATCAGGCCTTACTTCCCCAACTGCAAAGGGAGAAATAATACCTGCCCCACCTCGCAAGGTTTACAGGTCTCATGAGGGCTCTGTAAACCATACAGTGTTGTGAAGAGGTGGGCCAAGGTTCCAAGTTGGGACAGGACTCATTCTTTCCCCTTGCCACCTGTGGGCCTCCAACCTGTGATGAAGCTGAAGAGGGACTGGATGTGGGCCCGGTCCTTGAAGTAGGAGCGGCTGAGGCTGTTCCATATGACGTCGGAGACCTTCTTCACCAGCTCGCGGCTGGAGACACCCCCATCTCGAGGATAGAGGGACAGGTCCACGGCACCGCGGATCTGGGCGGTGAAGCGGGCATAGAGGGCGGCGATGATGGATAGGTCGGCCACAGGGAAGTAGGTGAGGCCGCCAGGAGGGTCAGGCGCGGGGCTGGGCTGGAAGGTGAGCTCCGGCACGTTGGTGGGGATGACACGGTTGACAGCCAGAAAATGTTCCACGAAGCCTAGTACCAAGGACAGGAGTACCAGGTCCGGTTCCTCTCTGCCCAGCTCCGCAGCAAACAGGCGCACCACGTCGTCGATGGAGCGCAGCGGGAACAGCGTCTTCTGGGCGGCCTTCAGCCCCATGGCGGCGGGCCGCGGCCTGCGGGCGAGCGGGGAGAGGGAGGGTCGCAGGCTCGGCCGAGGAGCCCCTCACAGGCTCAGCTAAGGTTCCATCCTACCATACGCCACTTCCCTGCTCCTTCCCGCCCTTCACCCTCCGCGCACTAGCTTCCCCCTTTAACCAGTGCGACCCTTTAGCGGAGGCTGAAGGGCCTCCTGGTCAGCCACAACCTCGGGACCCCCGGCTTCGGGGTGCGTCCCAGGGACCCCGTTGAAGACCCACAAGGGCCGTCACGCCCCCTCCCTACGACTGGACTCCCGGACTCCTAGAGGCCGTCCAGAAAGCGCCCCCAGGCCAAGCCCCCCAAACCCCAAGGAGAGTCCTGGCCTGGGTCCCCCGCGCCCACCTCCGCGCTTACATCCCACACAAGGCACCGCGGCACCCACCGCCTGGAGCCTGCTGGGAAATGGAGTCCCGCGCCCCGCCGCCGGGCCGCACTGCCTGCCGGGAAGTGGAGTCCTGGGCCCTCCCCTGCCCGCTCTACCTCTTGAAATGGTGGCAGGCCGGCCAGCCCGCGGTGGCTTATGGGATCGCAGTCCCGTCGCTCTGGACGCGCCGGAGGTCGGTGAGGAGTGGAGGCAGAGGCACCTTTTCGAGATCCTCAGGGATTGGCTATTCCCTATCACGCAGACCAGGTAGGAAGAGGGTCTGCAGTGCCTTCTGGGAGATGTAGTCCGGAAGGTGACGAGGCTCGCTCGGGCGGTCACCGAGCTCCGGGAGGGTTATCGCGAGTTTGCAAGACTAAGGAAAACGAGTACTTTTAAACACTGCTGGCGTGTGAGTGTATCCAGCCACTTGTCGGTAGTTATCAATACTCCTTCACATGAAACATGCCAAGCAAGTCTTTCCAATGCTTGCCTCTGAGAAAAATCTAACTCATACAAAGAGGAACATCGAAAGAAGTTACTTGTAAAAGGATAAAAGTAACTCAGTACACCTAAAATGGATCTTCAGGGCATATTGTTGAAGGAAAAAAGCTAAGAACAGTATGTATGCTAGAATAGTATTTATAGTAACATTTTTAAACTTTGAAACAATGCTGAATTTCTAGTTATTCATTCATTTGCTTGCTCATTCAACGAATGAGTTTTAGTTCCTACAATGGGCCAGGCACTCTGTGATATAGCAGTGAATAAAATGTTAAATTCCTGCCCTACTTCACTTCTTTGGGATTCGTTCCCTTGAAATTCATAGGCCTAGAGAAAACATCTTACAAACCCAAATTGAAGGACATTCTACAAAATATCCAATCAGTGCTCCATGAAAATGTCAAGGTCATAAAATACAAAGATTCGGGAACTGTTAGAGATCAGATTGCACAACTAAATGCATTGAGGTATTCGCAGATCAGAGACTAAGCAGATTGCACAACTAAATGCATTGAGGTATTCTGGATGGAATACTAAAACACAAAGAGTATCAGTGGAAAACATGAATAGGGTGACCAACTGTCCCAGTTGGCCCAGGACTTAGGGGACTCCGGGATATGAGACCCTCTGGTATTTTTCTTTTTCTCTCCCCCCCTCCCCACCAGAGGTTTTTGCTATAGGGTGCATGTGCTTGCTGGAGAGAGACAGAGACTGAGAGGAACATAGAAATCACCTCCCAAGGAGATGGCGATGCTACTCACATGTACATACACTTAGCATGATTTTAAAGCCACCAGATGCAACTCACTAACCACAGTCAGCTATGTGAGTCCAGTGACGTAACCACTATGCCATCTGCTGGCCCCAAGACCCTCTATTTTTAAATTTTTGTAAAGAATTATTTATTTCATGGGACCAGCAGTTGGTGTAATGGCTGGTGCTGGGCCCCCATGTAGCCGACCACAGTTCAAGTCTCAGACCCAGTGGCTTAAATTCATGCTGGGTGCGTGTGCTTGTGTGCCCAAGATCCCGAGAGGAGAAGAAGGGATTGCTGCGTGGCCATCCCCCCTGGGGGGGTGATTTCTTGCTTTCTATCTCTCTGTCTTTCTGGTGAACGCACGCGTCCTATAGCAAAAATCTCTCCAAGAAAACCAAGAATTATTTATTTCATTAATTTCATGTGTTACTATTTTTTAATTTGACTAGAGAGAGAGGGTAAGGGAGAAAGTAAGTCACCAAGTCCAGGATTCAAACTACAGTCAGCCATATGGGAATCTAGCACCTTTAAACACCATACCACCTGCCAGCCCCACCTAGACCCTCTGTTTTAAAGCCAGTTGGGTGACCAGCAGTTAGCATAATGGCTATGTCGCTGGACTCCCATGTAGTCGACCGTGATTCAAGTCCCGGACGTGGTGGCTTAAATTCACGCCAGGTGCCTGTGCATGCATACCCAAGATCCCTAGAGAAACATGGAGGAGAAGGGATTGCATCATGGTTATTCCTTATGAGGGTTACTTACTTTTTTTTTATGGAGAGGTTTTCACTATAGGGCATGTGCGCTCGCCAGACAGAAAGAGACAGAGAGACAGAAAGCGAGAAATCACCCCCCAGGAGGGATGACCACGCAGCAATCCCTTCTCCTCCATGTTTCTCTAGGGATCTTGGGTATGCATGCACAGGCACCTGGCGTGAATTTAAGCCACCACGTCCGGGACTTGAATCACGGTCGACTACATGGGAGTCCAGCGACATAGCCATTACGCTAACTGCAGGTCCCCAGGGTTACTTTCTTTCCCTCTCTCCCTGTCTCTTCGTCATTCTCTGGCAAGTACATGTATCCTCTAGCAAAAATAAACAAACAACGATAAAATGAAACACAATAATAATAAATAAAGCTTTTTTAAAAAAGGAAAGAAAAGGGACTGTCAAATGGCGTAATAGTTATGTTGCTGGACTCCCACGTCTGCCCCAGTTCAAGTCCCAGACCCAGCGGCTTAAACTTGTGCTGGTGCGAGTGCGAGCCTGCCCAAAATCCTGAGAGGACAAGGGATTGCAGCACGGCCTTCCCCTCAGGGGGTGACTTCTCACTTTCTGTCTCTCTCTGTCTCTCTGACAAGTGCACTCGCCCTATAGCAAAAATCCCTTTCTAAAAAAAGGAAAGAAAAAGA